AATCTACGAGTGTTTGTTGAGGAGTGCCGACCTTTTATGAAACAAGTTTGGTCAGGATGAATTAAGAGGGGGGTCATTTTCTCTAATCTCTTTGAGAGAGCTTTGCAGATTATTTTAAGGTCTACATTTAAAAGAGAAATTGGACGATAGTTTGAGGGAAATAAAGGGTCTTTGCCTGGTTTTAGCAGGAGACTAATGTTGGCAGAATTCATATTTGGTGGTAGTCTGCCCTTTTCCTCGATTTCCTGCAACATGCTGTGGAATACTGGTGCCAAAATTGTCCAGAATTCTTTGTAGAATTCTGCAGGGAAGCCGTCTGGACCTGGAGCCTTATTATTGGGCATACTTATCAGGGCTTCCTGGAGTTCACCTGGCGTCAGTGGCGAATCCAGTTCCATTGCTTGACTGTCTAGTAATTTTGGAAGAGTTACGTTGTCAAGAAACAAATCAATTTCATTTTTAGATGGGTTTATTTGTGGTGAGTATAAAGTTTCATAGAAATCCCTAAAAATGTTGTTTATTCTTCCAGGGTCATATATTGTGTTCCCCGATAAATCTTTAGCAGCACATATAGTTGTTTTTTCTTTATTTATTTTTAGCTGGTTTGCTAGAAATCGACCTGATTTGTTACTGTGTTCAAAATTCTGCAAGCGAAGTCTTTGTATAAGGAATTGTGTTTTTTTATTAATAGTTTCATTTAATTCTAGTTTTGTTTTGCGTATTTTGTTCAATGTTTCCTGATCTTGGTCGCATGCGTAGGCTTCTTCTAGTGATTTGATGGTTTTTTCTAATTCCTGAATATTTTTGTTTTCTTCTTTCTTTTTGTGTGATGAGAAAGAAATTATTTTACCTCTCATCACAGCTTTCCCTGCTTCCCATAGAACAGAAGCAGATATTCCGGGAGTGTCATTAAAGTCTAAATATGAAGTCCATTCCTTTTTAAAATATTTAATAAAGTCTTCATCTTTAAGCAATGATGTATTAAATCTCCAGTTTTTACTTGGCGTAGTATTATTCTTGTGCATTAGTGTTAAAGATACAGGACCATGATCGCTGACAGCTATAGGATGAATCTCAGTGTCTGAAATGTCGTTCAGCAGTGAGCTGCTGACCAAAAAATAATCCAGATGAGAGTAGGAGTGATGAAAATGTGAGAAAAAAGTATATTCCTTACTGTTGGGGTGAAGGGAGCGCCATGCATCACGAAGGCCAAAGTCGCTCATATACTGTTTGATTATATTTGTGGATTGCCAATTGCGCTGAGTTCCTGTTGTGTTGAGCCTATCCATTTCTTCATTTAGTCCAAGGTTGAGGTCGCTGCCAAGAATGAGTGTGCAATCGAGGTGTTCAGAGAGTGCACTAAAAAATTCCGTGGAAGAATGAGGGTTCATCAACATTTGGACCATATATACTTACAATACATAGTTTTTTGTTCAATATTGATAGTTTAGACGTTAGGAAACTCAGGTGTTTTAAGTTCGTTTAAACCTGTGACAGGTCTGTGAGTTTCTTGTAATAAAACAAAATTTGTAATTTTAAAGAACTCACTGAATTTGAGCATGATACTGTAAAAGGATACCGCCACTGCAACAAGTCAGTTTGTGAAATTTCTTCCCACCTTGATGCTGTTTGAATAATTTTATTCTTTTCTTTTAGAATAAGATGCTCTGACTTTCATGGTGGCCATGAATGGTCTTCTATTCCATTCATCTACACAGAATTATTTACATGGAAGAAAGTTTTCCATTTACTAATAAATCTGAACCACATAAGTTTAATGCTGGACTTGCACTTTGCCATGGCAGAGGGCAGTAAAATAAGGAATGACTTTTATGAACCACATAGCAGGAAGGTGCAAGATGCTAACGTGCAGGGCATACATGGAACATGATAACCAAATGGCTGGCATAGTTCAGAGGCCGGGCCTGGAAGTCCCAAAGTCAATATGGGAGACACCGCCAAGGCTGGTCGAGAATGACCGGACTAAGATCCTGTGGGACTTCCAGATACAGACGGACAAACTGGTGATAGCGAACCATCAGACATACTAGTGATGGACAAGCCACTATACCGAGTAATAGCAGCATCAGGAATAACGAATACCAGAAGCTGGTCCAGAGGTTAAACTACAGGAGAGAGTTTAACCTCTGAAGCACCAACACCCCCAGATACGGGGGCAAAGGGAGGAGATCGCATTTAGGGTTAGGCGTGCATGCTTGAGGGGTTAATAATTACTTCTAATGCACTAATGGTTTATAAAACAGAGTGAAAAGGAAACACTGTGTCCCTGTGGTTCATGTTTTGATTTACTGTTTGCATGTGACATACTGAATGTAAATACAGAGGTTACAGTCACACGCTGTACCTTGTCCTGAAAAGTGCAAACATTGAGCCAGACTCTGTCCTCGCTGAGCTTCACGGTCTCCTCCTGCTGTCCCTCACTCTCCTGCTCATCTGCTGATTCAAAGCTGTCAGAGGGAAACAAGACCTTAAAAAATATGATTAATGAAAAGCAGTTTCAGACTGAAGCTGACTTGAGCGGCAGGAGGCTGGTTAGGTGACAGACTGTCAGTAAAAAGATGTGTGTCAAAAGAAATCAGTTCAGTTACATACACTGCAAAAAACGATTTTCAAGAAAGTAAAGATTTTTCACTCAGTTGCTCACTATTGCACAGCTTACCTGTTGGAAATCCTGCACAAAACACAGATTGTCTTTTGAAAGATATCAGGAAGTTCTGGTCCTTTTTCGATGAAATCAGTGTTACATCCGTTCAAAATACAGTCATGGGTGTGGAACCTGATCTCAGTTGTTTTTGTGGCTTTAATGAAGCCTATATTATTAAAACCCCTTAAATGCCGTAATTTCACTGCTCATACAGACGCATTCAGAATAGTTATCACTGGTTCAAATTCATGGATTGAATAAAAGGGGCATCGGGTGGTGGTCGTTACTGAACTGTCTCCCTTTGAAAACATTAAAAAGACACTTTTGTGCAAATGACCATTTTAACTGAAACAAGCATTTTACAGTGTAAAAATTATATATGAAGTTATCAGGACAAGCACAGCAAAATCTCCAGTGTTAAATTAACACTGGAATATTTCTAACATTTTGAGTTATTTTCCAGTGTTAGAATATCAGCACTGCTCAGTGTTAGTCTTTGTTAATCTTCAAAACTGACTAGATTACTTTTAAACATATAACACTGTCAAAAGTCTTAATTTAACACTCAACAGTGTTGTATTTAACACTCAGAGGTGTGGACCCATATAGACACTCTCCAGTGTTAATTTAACACTGGAGATTTTGCTGAGTACAGCGTGTGACTGTAACCTCTGTATTTACATTCAGTATGTCACATGCAAAGAGTAAATCAAAACATGAACCACAGGGACACAGTGTTTCCTTTTCACTCTGTTTTATAAACCACTAGTGCATTAGAAGTAATTCAGTTAAGTAAGTGTTCAGTTGTGTCTTCCTGTGTTTTTGCAGTAAATGTTGTTTTCTGTTTCTGATGTGTGTACTTCCCCTGCTTCGTCGTATTTATGTTTTTTTTTCTGTGCTTCCACCTGTTTCCTCTTGCCTCTTAACCCAGGTTGCATTCCAAATGTGCTTCCAGTCTCATTTTCCAAACCTCTTTTCCTTGACTTTTGAGGTCAAAGGTGAGTAGGAGAATTGATAAGGCTTTGGAAACCTTCCACTGGTCTTCCGAGAAAAGGTTCCACACCCATGACCCAGGTAACATCTGAGAATAAAAATAACTACATCAATATCACATTGACTGAAGTGCTCTCGAATTTTAAGTGTTGATGCTTGATCATCGCGGTAAAGAAAGTTTCTGGAATCTCCATTTTAAGGTCGCTAGCCTTGATCTAGCAATCCTGTGCCTCACTCAGAGTCACACACATCCGTTATTACAAATGTTTACCAGGATCCTGTAAAGTATCTTTGCTCTTCGTAGAGCTGCACTCTTCTGGACACAGATCTCAGATGTCATTCCTGGGATCTTCTGGAGCCACCTGCCCAGTTTAGGGGTCACTGCCCCGAGTGCTCTGATTACTACATGGACCACTGTTGCCTTCACCATTCACATCTTCTTAACCTCCTCTCTCAGCCCTTGTTGTTTTTCCAGCTTCTGGTATTCGTTATTCCTGATGCTGCTATTACTCGGTATAGTGGCTTGTCCATCACTAGTATGTCTGATGGTTCGCTATCACCAGTTTGTCCGTCTGTATCTGGAAGTCCCACAGGATCTTAGTCCGGTCATTCTCGACCACCCTTGGCGGTGTCTCCCATATTGACTTTGGGACTTCCAGGCCCGGCCTCTGAACCAACGCACCGATGCCCGAGGGCATCAACCACTGGTATGGAGTGTGGAGAGATCGGCCCCACACCTGGGGGTAGCCTGACATAGACTTAGAGAAACAGGCTCACACAGACACAAACATGCATCCCTGCCCTCATGCACACATTTACAAATACTCAGCAGTGTGTGAAGCACTTTTCCATAAATAATTTCTGCATGAAACATGAAATCCAGACTAAATGCAGATGCAGAGCAGAAAGTAGACACAATGATGGACTTGTGAAGGTTTTTTCCCGGCAGCTTATTAATGAATGACCGATTGTTAATAATGTCTCTGTTTTTCTTTAAAGTAGACCAAATGTCCACCTGTTGAAATGTCACTTAATACCTTTTATTCACACAGCCTCCACTGGTGAAGTAAATTTCCTGATATGCTAAGTATCCAGTATTTGCATGTACTTGTATGCACACAGAATGTAGGTTGAACATGGTGATCATAACAGTCATGGTATGTTCACATCTGCAAATCAGATGTAAAAGACTGGGAATGCTTTGCCTACTGAACATAACAGCGTCACTCTGAGTGTAAACAGGAGAAATGAATATTTTCATGTTTTCTGCTGTGAGGGAAGTGACAGAAATACAAATCCAGCTCTGACTCAGAGAAGGGATCATATCAACATCAGTGTGTCTACAGAAAACTCCAGAGTGAGGGTAGAAGTCTTTTCTTTCTCTTATTAGAGGACACATTTGTGCAAAGAGTCTAAAGTAAAGATGCTGTGGAGTCTGTTGTTCATCACTTTGATTGGTAAGTGGATCATTTGATGTTCCTGCCTGGCACAGTGATGTTTCAATGATCGTTATAAAGAATGAAAAAGATCAAATATAACAGTTCAGTTTTACTGTGAGTTGATCCAAACTGCTCGATAAAGCAAAAGTCGTTTCATTTAGTTTAAAGAGGATTTGACTTTAGTAAAGCCAGTTTCATTTCTGAGTGTTGAAGGATGGTTTACATTCTGTGCTTTCTGCTGTATTACCAAACAACAATATCAGAGCTGGCAGTAATTCACTCATTCTTACATCGTTCTCTGAAACTTCACAGGAAGATCAACTCAACAGGATCCAGGTAAGAGTGCATTTCTAACCAGTTTATTCAGGTTATATCAAAAGTATGATGGTGCTTCTGTTCTGACTATACTTATTTGTAAAGTATTTAATTGTATGCCTTTTAAATTATTTTTATATTTTATTTTTCAATTCATTTATTTATTTATTGCATCACAGTAGACGTCATATCTGTGGGAATGTTTCATGTGGGGATTTTCTGTTGGACTGAAGCAATTTTACAAACATCTGTATAAATATATGTTATAAATGTAAATTTATATTGAATTATGTTCTATGATATGTGATCAACGTGATTTAGAAATAAGTGCTTTGATAAACGTGCAGTCTTTGATATGTTTTGAGAGTCAAATTATTCATTTCATAAATTCTGATTAATTTTTTTTCACTAACTGCAAAACTATTCAACATTTATAATGTAGTGAGGCTGCTTGGAAATAACCTGTGTGTGTGTGTGTGTGTGTGTGTGTGTGTGTGTGTGTGCGTGTTAAATATGTTTGCCACAAAAGATTTAGTCAGATCATGAAGTCATAATTCAGATTCATTATTTAGGTCTGGTCTGAAGTATTATTGCCACTGACATTGTTTCTTTTCTTTTTTCTTTTTTTTAACTTTACTTTATGTTACACCATCAGGATGGGAAACTATCAAACTGGATGACAAAGTGGCATTTCAGTCTTCAGTCTACACAGTAAATGGTCTCAACTACTCTGCTGACAGAGCTTTTGACGGAAATTATTCAACATGTTCTAACACTGTAGAACAACAGCCCACCAGCTGGTGGACAGTTGACTTATTGGGTCTATATGAAATTTCCTGCATCAGCATTTACAACAAAGATCAACACAATGTCGATCTAAGTAGCGCTCACATCCTCATCGGGAACTCATCTGAGAGAAATGCTGCTGACACCACTGAGTAATACCTTCATCTTACTTTGAATCATTCTGTTCTCAGTCAGGCTCCAGCATGTCCAATGTTTTTAGATAATTTTATGAACATTTAAGTGCATTTAAATCCAGTAATACAGTAACACAGATAAACCTGTATCAGTTCTATCAGATGAAATAGGAGGTCTAATATGGTGTGATGTGGTTTGGAGTAATAATCACGTATATGTGAAGAATATAAAAATCTTTATTTATTCTCTTTTTCCTTTGTTGTTTATTTGTAGGTGTTTTCCTTCTTTCTAAAATGTTCTCAGACAGCAGCTCACATTTATTATCCAGCTGTTCGACTGTCTCCACTGTTTACAGCATGATTTAATCAAACAGAGCCAGAAACTCTTTCTGTACATCTGTCCAACCTTTTGTCTTTGTTTACAGGTGTGCAACAATCAACACAACTATTAGTGGAGGAAATAAAGCATTTAACTGTGAAAATGGACCAAAGTGGGGGCGTTATGTAACTGTGTACAAAGACACACCTGGGCTTGTGATTCTGTGTGAGGTGACGATGAAAGGCATAAAAAAAGGTACAATAAAACATTCTTACCCACTAAGTTAACTGGTCAGTCAGTAGAGTCAATATAAATGTGTAAATTGATTGATTGATTGATAATACTTTATTCATCCCGAGGGAAATTGGGTTAAGGCTGCCGACCTTTGCCAGCGCCATCTTACCCTCCCGACCATACATACATTACACAGCATCACATGGGGAAGTCAGGTCAGGGAGATATAACAATGGAAAATGCACAACATGAGGAAAGATGAGGAGAAAAAAGAACTCCCCCCAGGCTGAGGTCCAACAGCGAGATCAGTTTGAGAACAGAAAAAAACACCTCAGCACATGAGTGATCACATCTCACAACATAGAAGACATAAGCTTCAAAGGCATTTGGAGGGGGTGGGGGGTGAGTGCAGGTCTGTGTCAGTGTACATGCGTGTGTGTGCGTGTGTGTGCGTGTGTGTGTGTGTGTGTTTTCTGTGTTCAGCCGAGAGAAAGTGTCCCTTCACCCGGTTAAGCAAAAGTCAACAATCTTCGATCAACGCGGATGGCCTTAAAGGAGGGACAAAGAGTTTTGACAACAATCCTGTTATCATGGAAGAATTTTTGTTGTTCCAGTCAGCTTCAACCTTGGCAGGCCTTCAGCTGGCACCAATCCTCTCAATTCCTGTTGTTCTTCTCCAAGATGTTATCCATTTTGCGTTCAAAACACAATCTGAGTACTCACAGCCTTGCCCATTGTCTATCATGTCGGGCAGCCTTATGGGATTTTGAACAGCTGTAGCCGCTTCTTTTACTTCGATAAGCCAGCTCCAATAAGCCAGAACTCTGTTATTGTGGTTCTGATTTGGTAGATTTCATTCAATGTCCTCCATTGAGAGTGTCACCAGGCACACGGCATAACCGACCATCGAGTATCCTGCAGCAAACGTCTCCGCAGGACAATCGGGCTCTCCCAAGCCCAGCAGGGTATCAATTCCATTACGGGACCAGTTGATCAAACGCATAATTCTTTAGGTTTTAGAGAACAAGACTGAGAAACTCTTTGAGGGCGATCGTGGCTCAAGAGTTGGGAGTTCGCCTTGTAATCGGAAGATTGCCGGTTCGAGCCCCGGCTTGGACAGTCTCGGTCGTCGTGTCCTTGGGCAAGACACTTCACCCGTTGCCTACTGGTGGTGGTCAGAGGGCCCGGTGGCGCCAGTGTCCGGCAGCCTCGCCTCTGTCAGTGCGCCCCAGGGTGGCTGTGGCTAGAATGTAGCTTGCCATCACCAGTGTGTGAATCTGTGTGTGAATGGGTGAATGACTGGATATGTAAAGCGCTTTGGGGTCCTTAGGGACTAGTAAAGCGCTATATAAATACAGGCCATTTAAAGAATAAGTGAGAATAAGTAAGAAGAATTATGTGCTTAGATTAACGCAGCATGTTAGACACTCAGAAACACTGTTTGGTTTGATGCTTCTAAGTTTCATGTTTTTGATGTTTTTCCTTTTAGAGCCCTTTAAACTGATTAAAGAGAACAAGACATGGGCAGACGCCCTGTACCACTGCAGACAGGAACACATGCATCTGGTTTCCATCCTTGATAACGAGACCCAGGTCTGGGTTGAGTTGGAGGCTCAGAAGGCTGACACTCCCTTTGTCTGGCTGGGTCTTCACTACAGCTGCACCCTGCACCTCTGGTTCTGGGCTGATGATCATTGTGTAGGTTTTGATCAGTGGGCTGACAAGACAAGAACAGCAGACTGTAGCATAAGTGGTGCCATGAATACAAGTGGGAACCATTTGTGGTACAAGAAGTCTATTTATGATAAATATAATTTCATCTGTGCAGTGTAAGAAGATTCATGGGTTGGTTTTGTTTATTCAGTTAGACAGGTGTCAGTAGTGGCTTGTTGGGTTGTAGCAAACTTTCCTCTAATAAATCAAAGGTGATGGGTTCAGGCTCAGTGTAGCAGGAAGATAAACAATGGTGAAATTAAGAAAAAATAATCATTCTGTGGTATAATAACGCAATTTTATATTTTGTTTGTAATCTAATTAAATGCAGTTTATAAATAGAAATTAATCTTAATTTGCTTTTGTTCTCTTGAAGGTAATTTTTTTGGGAGTTTTTGATTTGCTCATGTATGTCTCATGAAAATTTGCTGTGAAAAAAATAAAATAAATAAAAAAATATATATAATTTGTATAATTTTTATCTTAATTGCATGTAACCTCCTTAGACCCAAACTCTTTCATGACATCCTTTTTTAATTTCTCTTTGCTCTTTGGGTTTATTGGGACCTGATGAATGTAAAAACAAAGAATTACCTGATTTTTTTTTTTTTTACCTGATTTTTGTTTCTGATAAAATGAGAGCCACATATGAGGACATTAGTTTTAACTTTCGATAGAAAAGTGGCAGTATAATGTCCTCGTAAGTGGATATCAGGGCCTTGTAGAGCAATATTAAGTATTTTGGTCTAGACAACCCAAAATATGATGCCAGGTCCTAGGAGGTTAATGAACATGTTATCATTTTGAATTTGAAGGAGAGGTCAGAGGTCAAATATGATACTTCAAATTTTTCTACAGTACTTTCTGCACAGAAGCAAGTGTCTCTTATCTGTGCGCAGTCATCTGTTTAGCTGGGAGGACACTCTGGATGTGCACATTTGTGTTTTGTGTCAAGAAAAGCTGATATGTGTTCATACACTATATTCACTCATCCAGATCATTGAATTCTGGTGTTCTAAACACCTCCATTATCAGTGAAAGGAACTCTTCATGCTTCAGCATATTTTTTGGGACAATTTCATACTCCCATCTTTCTGGGAACAGTTTGGGAATGGTCCCTTCCTGTTCCAATATGACTCCATATTAGATTAGATGAATTAGATGAATTAGAACATGAATGAGAGCAGAGCCTATGAGCCAGGCATCCTGATGTGGCCTCCTTGTCCAACATCAGTGTCTGACCTCACAAATGTGAAAGAATGAACAAAAATTCCCATTAACACACCTTGTGGAAAGCCTTCTACAAGAGTTGAAGCTGTCATAGCTGAAGGGTGGGCCAACATCATATTCAACAGTATAGTGTGTCTGGAATACAAGTGATCATGGGCCGTCTACAATCGTCATGCTTTCTTGATGTTTAAGAATGTTTAATTTCTGAAAATGTTCAACTAAACAGCTAAAACCATAAGACCAAAATCCTCTTAAAGCAGTCCTCTAAATTCTTGCCAGATAACACAACAAACTATATATGAACAATGAATTTACAAACCAGGTGCCTGAGATGTCCAAAGAAAAAGAAGTTCAATTTCAAAACTGTACCTCAGTTCTTTTAAACAGTGAGTGAGTCTGCGGTCATTAGATGCACTTACAGTTTCATGGGGAAAGGCACAGGAAGGATGGAGATGCCTGTTTGAGGCCACAGACTGAGTGAGTGTCTCTCTATTGTTAGAACACCAGCTGTGAGAGTCCCTTATTTGCTGTAAGTTACTAGATAAGTCAGCAAGTTCGAGATTTTACAACAGTCATAAGCTGCCATAAAAACATATGCTAGCTATTTTAGATAAATGTCTACCATGAATTACTATGTGCAAGACAAACCACAATGTTACAAAATTTAGTGCAACATTTTTGTTGCACTACACTAGTGTAACAAAAATGTTGCACGAGACTTGTGGACTTTAATGTTTTAGCCTTGTGTTAATTGTTTATGAACAAATGTTGATGTTCATTTATTCAGGTTGTAGTTAAATAGTTTTAGAACTTGGCAGAAAATAAATTATTTCTATGCCCTAATGTGCAAGACCTTTGATTTTGGTGTACTTTCTTTTCATCATGATTCTGCATGGAAGTTCAAGTTCAAGATCAAATAATAGATAATATTGCTTTGATATTTATGGTTCTGAGCATAAATTGCATTATGTATAAAAAATACCATAGACGTGGAGACATGTACTTCTCCGGCAGTGACTGACTGAGCAGCATCCTCTAACAGCTTTGTGCTGTGTAGTAAAGTTGTTCCTCTCTGCAGTGGTTTTGTGACAGTGCTGCTCTGGATACTGAAGATTCTCTGGAGAAGCAGAAAGTCTACAAGTTCAGAGGTGAGCTGGCTGTGAGACAAGGAAACTATCAGGTACTGTCACTCATTCAATTTAGTCTGTGCTCTCTTACATCAAACACTTCCTCAAATAGTATCCGGCTTAAGCTCAGCTAGTATTTTCATTCTTGACAAACCTATACAGCTGATGCAAACTAAAAATGATGCAAAAAAGTCTTCATTCATGACCAGCGGTTTACAGCAGCTGCCTGCAGTGGATCGCTGACAACAACCTGACCATTAGACAAGATGTAGTGGAGGGGATGGCCCGATGCTGCACCAGACTGGGACAGAGAGACAGAGCGCTGGAGTTGGCCCAGTTACTGGTAATTCTTTACCTGACTGGGTTTTCCATGAGGAACAGTCAGAGTGAATACTGTCAGCTATCATGTGACCATCCCATCATGTGACTTTTTATCAGCTTTTTAAAATTATCTGCATCCAATATACTTATGACACCTAACAGCAAATGACACGACACAAAAGACACACACAACAGCCAGTCAAAACTAATTATTCAAAATCTCCTGATAAATAGAATTATGTTACAGAAATATTATGAATATGTTTGTTTGTTTTTGCCATATTTAAACCTTACAGGATCTTTTTCATCTGAGATCTGTGTGAATCAACATGATGAGCAGGAGGATAGAAACACTGAGGAGGCATCAGAGCTCAGTGAGGACAGAGTCTGGCTCAAAGCTTGGATTTGAGGAGGAGTCCACTGGCTGTGTAGACTGCAGGAGCACCTTTACACACACGACATGACTCAACAATGGACAAAGGAGAGACTGAGACAATAAATTAAAAAGAATTAGACAGTTTGACATTTTGGCAAGTGTTTTATGGCTGAATCCCACAAACTCATGTCTACTGCTCAGTCCATAAATGTATTTTCCTTAAAAATGTGGCACCATTTAATGTGGCACCATTAGGCACCATGTGACACCACATTCACTATGTTTTCACCCCAGATTTGCTTAAACCGTTATAGGGCGAGGAAGCTTATATGGTAAATTGATCTGCAACATTAACAGAATCTCACTGAGGTGAGATGCACTGCTTCTTGCACACACACTGTGACAAAGATTAAATTCCAGGCTGTTTGGGGTTAAACTTCTTCATTTTCACACACCAACATTAATTCTCTCTTTCATCTCCCAGAGAAGATGAGGGAGGATTACTAGGAAAGAGAGAGCTGGGCCACTGTGTGTTTGCACAGCTTCAGACAGCGCTGGTGGAACAAGATCTTACTGACAGGCCTGTTAGAGACTGATGGGCATTAAGCCTTCGAACTGAACTCTCATTCATGTGGGGAAGGCTAAATATTTATCAAAAGTTTTATTAAAGATCAGCTTTAAGTGCTTAAGCCACTTAAAACGCTGTGACCACTGCCACGGTGTAGAACGAACAACTGTAATGAGGGCTACAAAGGTTTGTAATTCATTTCCTGCTCCTGCAGGATCAGTGATTGTCTGTTTCTAATCAAACAGCTGAGATCATGATTAGAGTTTTCTGTTCTCAGTGACAGCAGTGACATCGTAATGCAGCAGCGTATCTGCAGGAGGACAGAATTCTGATCTGAGGTCTGCATCCAACTTTGAAAGTTATGTTATGAAAGTGAAATGCGTGCTGTGTTTTGCTGCTTTTCCCTTTAACCTGTGCCAGCTATACATAATGCACTGAAAGTGTTTCCTTTGTGGTGCATTTTGATGTTGACTTAAGTAAAAAGTAAAAACACACGTCTATTTTCCACACTGCATTTTGTTTGTGAATAGTGAACGTTCTAATCTGTATTCATAGCTGTACACTTTAATAATTAATACAGTTATTTGTTGTTCATGTAAATACAGAAATTCTCCATTGCCTCAAAATGTTTAAACAAATCTCTAAATCTCAAGAACTGTGACTTGAAAACTGTATGAAGTCAGGTTAAAAATTAAGGCTTTATTTTATTACAGTTTTTTACAGACGCTAGGACACATTTCTCAATACTTAGGTCACTTTTGCAAAACACTTCACACAATCCTCCTAACTGACCGTCAGCTTGGCAAAGCAGTTCATTTCACATTCAAAATGCACTACAACTACCAAAACACTTTATTCAGGTCTCAAATAAACTCATTCTTCCAGAACACTAGCAAAGGTTGACAGCCGACAAACACACTTTGTCACCCACAAAACAATGACCTAAAAAACACTAACAACATATAGCATGACACAGTGTTTTCTTGTGTAAAACAAGGACACATCTCTGTTTAAAATTTCAATATATGTTACTGGAATGAATCAGACATCATGCAGAATTCGTTAATATTTGTTTATGTATTTTTATTTTTTTGCACTAAGTAATCCCAAAATACAAGAATTTGTATACACACCATCCACTGATACACATACAATAGTAATGCTAATCTACTCAGTCTCCTCCATTTGGCCACAGGTTCTCATCCACATCACATCTTATGTCATCTAGGGCAATACACCTAGGAAAGAATCTTCTGGCTGCCAGAATTGAAGGAGTTGAAAAATTGAAGGAGTAACACCTGTGTAGATGTTCATCTACAATGAGAATAAGCTGTGGCTGGTTAAACTGCATTTTTAGATTTAAAATATGTTTCAATAAAATATTGCTGTTGCATTTTGCTGTCTTTTTAAGTTTTGCATTGTGTTATTGTTTTGGCCATAAGTTTAACAGTTTTGAAAACAGTATGTGTAAGCACATGCAAAATGTCCTGTCCGTACAAAGATTTTTGGCAGTTGTTGTTGTGTCTGAGTGAGAAGATAATTCATGAAATTTGAGAGATGTAGTCATTGAATGCATTTTGTGCCAAAACAATGATAACTGGTCCTCAGTTTAGC